ATTAGAATGATTTTCTCAAGCGGTAGTTAATTTTAATATCATAACCATACAATAAAAAAAAAATATATATATATATTATAAATAAATATTGTCAAAAATATGTATGTATGTTTAATATCTATTGTACAATGGCCACGATGTTATGGGAGTGGCAAAAATTTGGGAAATCTTAAAAAAATCTTGAAATATGTCATATTGTGGTTAATAGTTAATCAATCGAGCAAAATCTGGATCTCATACTTGTTGTAGCAAATTTGTTCCAAAAATGCGCTTAATCCGAAATTTTTAGGTATTAAGCCATATTCAATGAAAATAGAAATAAGAAAATTTTAATATTAATATTTTATTATATCTGAAATTATGTCTCTAAGGTGAGGAAGTTAAAAATATTTAAATACGAGTATATATATCTTCTTTAAAACACCTTTATCACTCACTGTAAGTGAATAGAAATCTCAATAATGTATAAATACATGAGATGACATATCCACTTAAGCGGTATTTGGCCGTCTTTCTTTTTTAGTTTGTTGTGTACATCTTGATGTTCGTAAAAAAATGGAATCCTTATGATTAATACAAGTATTATATAATCTATTATTATAACTTTATAACCGTTAAAATAAAAAGTTGAAAAATATCGAGCTAATTTTATTTTCTAGCTAATTTATATAAATAAATAAATAAATAAATAAATAAGTATTTGCCAATACATAATTAGTTATGTATGTACATATTTGTATGTGTTTATACGGCATATGCTAAAAGTTAAATTCTTTAGTAAATTTCAATAAATATTTAAAAGTACAAGCCCGAGTTCACAATCACAATTCTCATTTAATCATTTTCAGGTTTCCGTGAAAAAATATCTTTTTTTGAGTGCCTTTAAAGCAAGGCACACACATCACCCTTTAATCAAAAAATTTCAATTGATTCGGTTTAGACATTTAGAAATGTTACCGTTAGATCAGTTATCAAAATAAATATTGTTTCATTTCTATGTCAGTGTCATTGTATAACTCGTACAGCTCATCGTTCCATTGTCTGCATTATGGTTGCCAAAGTATATAAGTCCATAAATCGTTCGCAAAACCTTTTTTTCAAGGACGCTCAAAGCAGACTACACAGATGTTGATATTGTCCACGCTTATTCGCCATATAGTAGAACGGGTATGATGAGCGACTTGTAGAGTTTGGTTTTTGTTTATTGAGAGAGGACTTTACTTTTCAATTGCCTACTCAGTCCAAAGAAGCACTTGTTCGCAAGAGTGATTCTGCATTGGATTTAAAGGCTGACATTATGCTGGTCTACGACCACGAAGTTATTACTGTAACATGCTATCCGTGTTACTTATGTCCACGAATGATGGTGATTTTTTGAGGTATGTTAATAACTACTAGTCGCTGAGAGATTAATCTGGCGAATACACTGGATATGGGAGTAACCCGAAATTCAATTCATGTAGTTTTACAATTGTGTTCATTGACTTGTAACACAGTTCATGATGTTTCTCTTCTTCTTTTGTTTCACAACAAGCCCAGCGTTACCCACATTCCGTCCAACCGACCGAGAGGCGTGTTGAAGAATAAGAGAAAAATTCAACAGATAGGTGACGGAAAACCAGTGACGATTCGGATTGCCCTGATCCCGAGAACTTACGCTAAAGGCCGCGGTTAGGCTTGCCTCTTACTTTCTGACACAGCTACAGGTTTGCTCATAATCTGCATAATTATTTGAGACACCTTATAAGTAAGTAAGTATGTATCGATAGAGAAAAATGAGTCAGAGGAATCAATTATGGCGGGATGAGTACTAAAGGCGACACACAAACATTTAAAAGAGTTGTACATTTCAAAGTTTTTCTGTAAGGACACATTGGGGCTTATAGTATTTAGATGATCTTATGGGTAAGTTAAAGTTAAGTTCACTAAGTAGGAATGTGCTACTAATAAAGATAGGCAATGAATATTGTACCACTTACATTCTAAAATACTAAGGGCATAACCTTTTCAGTCGATTGAGCTTTCAGCACTTGGAGGTTCACTAATTGTTGTCCACTCACTTGAGTCAAGTGATGATAAAAATTCTTTGCCATATGTGGTCCGTTCTTTGTAATATCGGTCTTCAATAACGCATATTATATTCACTGGCTATGTTAGATATTTCTTTTCGATAAGGGTATATTCTTATAAAGAAAACTTTGTGTTACACTTTCAGAACATCTACATATTTTTTATTGAAATAAGACGCCATCATATTATTACAAAAAATTGAGTAGTTTTGCTGAAGGTTCCGTAGCCATTTTGGAATTGAAATATTTCCTCGAGTGGCAACACTGATACCTACAAAGCTAAGCCTTGTCTGGAGATGGTCAAATAATTTCATCAAGCATTGCATATGTATGTGTGACTAAGGCTCATTGTGTCTTGCCCACAAAGGTACAAATAAACACGTCAATCATCATTTTAAATTTGCACTCATATACATACTCATATCTATTGCAATTTTATTTCAAAATAATATTTATTTAATAATTTAATTAAACATTTTAAGTTATTTCATTTTAACTGGGAAAACTCTTGAGAGATGATATGAAGATTCTATTGTTCTTGTTGTGAATTCGTATTAATCTGTATTAATTTTGGTTTTATTTTCTATTTTTTGCTTTTTTCGATGTAAATTTGCCTACGCAGCAAACAAGATACTTTTTAAAAGGGTCAAATAGATATGTATAAATAAATATGATTATATTAATCACACAAAATACATATTGTGCATAATCAAATGTCTGAATGCTATTATTATCGTATCACCGTAAAATTTAAATATCAAACATTTTGGATTGTCATTAAGCCGTTAAAAAAATTTTATGGCGTACGTGCAGCCGACAAAAGCCGACTACACCAAAACACCTAAGGTTTTGATGGGTTTATTTGACCGTCTCCAGGGCACTTACGACTGTATGCTAAGGACAGGACAAGTTCTGTTAGAATTTTCATTTCATTTCATTTTTTCACTTAAGTCTATGGTTACAATAACCTTACAGACTAGAAAATACAAATTAAACATAAAGAAAAGAGAAAAAATAAGAATAGTTGCAATGAAATTTACATTGAAAAGCATTTAACTTGCCGAAATCCAGATCAAGAGTTTTATAAATTACTTTCTACTCAATCAATGCAAGAGCAATTGGGGTAATGTGATTTAGTTGTCCTCACATTGAATGGATAGCTAGACCATAGCGTTTTCCGCGGAACATTGAAGCTGATCTGTTTAAGAAGCTTGGTACAATCAATAAAATCAGAAATAAGGTTGGAAATAAATATTACAGACTGCAAAAAAACATCATTGATATAAGTCTACACCGATCATTATAGGGTGGTACAGGGCTAGCAAAGTGGATTGATTGAAGGGCAAAAGGGACAAAATTTCTATGCAGCCTTTCCTTATTGGAATGTGTTGAGTATACTACTGTAGATAACAAATTATAGAGCCAGCTTTGAACTAACAAAAGAGTTGAACTAATTTTTTTTAGTATAAGGATCTCTAAAGCCCTTTTTAAAATGCAAAACTTGCATAAGATTTCGGAACCATGTGACTTATATGGTTAACAAATGTAAACCCAGTGATTTCAAGATCAGAGAATTCTGTAATTTTGAGAAGGTTCCGAAATTGGATTAAATGAATATGGGTTATAAATTTGAGACTTCGAAAAAGTAACATGGAAGCATTTCTTACTTTGGATGCTCCAAGTAGTTAAGTTATATAGATCTTGTTGTATTAACATCAGATTCACAAGTTATTTTGTTGAATAGCTTTAAAGTAGAAATTCCGCAATTCCAAGAATACTGCCCCTAAATCGTATAAAATTATGTAGATGATGCCATACGAAAGCAGGCGAATCGTAAATATTTGAAAATGTGAAATATTTGATGTTCATCTTTTACATGATTCTCCTACAATTTTTTTCCAATAAGAACTATACTGGGCGGTTTTTTAATTTTTTTTTACCTTCCGATGAAAGTGATGTCGATGAATGAATTTTAGAGAGGTGATTAAGGGACCAAAGTAACCCATTAGATTTGTCACGTACAGCTGAAGTAAAATTAAAATATATGTATCAACAATTTTCTCATATACAAAACTCTCTTTCAGATTCATGAAAAGATTTCGCAACAGGCGGGCCAAGAATATTGAGCTATCGTTTCAGCTCTTCCTATAAATTAGGCAAATGGTTTTTTGCTAAATTTGGATGTGACCGCAAGAATTCAGCGATGAACTCGTTTTGTGCTACGTCAATTTTATTTGCATTTGTTTTAAAATTAACATTTTTATTAATTCAACAATATTTTTTATAATAGTTTGAAATAATTTAGTTATATATTTATTTTATAATCGAATGACAATTCTTAACGAAATTCTCTTTAGCGTATGGACTTTCTGAACGCATCATACCGTGTTACGACAACGAGCACACGTTCATGTATGGCGCAATGCCAAATACAATACTTATATTTACGTGACGTTCACGGAACGCTCGATTCAACCCCAGGACATTCTCTTTTTCATAATTTAACTAATAAGAACTACACTATGCGAATGGCTCTGGTAGTAAAGCTTCTAACAAGACGCAATAACTTTTGACATGAATCAAACAGTTAATAAATTCGTGTCACTGTTGGTAGTCATCATTGTCAATTTAAATTGTTTTTTTAAGTCGTTCTTAAGAGTTTAAATTTACACATATAGTTTTCCTTATATAGACAAGGCAAATAGTCTCTTACATATATTGATTTTATCGCTTTTTGTAATCTTCGAAATCTCTTTGTTTTAATATGCTGTTTATGCAAAATATCAATTATTACTACAGTAACCGCAAAGCTGGTGAGAAAAAGACTTGGTCAATTCTAAGCGGGCATACATACATATACTCTTATTGTATAAAAGCGCTCTTCGGTACAAAAATAATCACAGTTTCAATTACAATTCAATATCAACCGAAATGGATTTTGAGAAAATTTTTTGGCTCCCCAATACACTATACCTAGTTGTCGGTTACGATTTCCGACAAGTATCAAAATCATACTTGAAGAAAATTCTAATGACAGCGTTTTTAATACTAACTAATATAACCGGTATTTGTATCCGAATTTATATGTTGATACAACTTCGGGAGTTAGTCTTGAGTGGTGATATGTTGAACAGCTTTCGCTTAGGAGTATATATATCCTATGCATTTGATTCGATTGTGAAGTTTTTTGGTTTTCTACACAACGCGCATCGCCTGCGTAAAATTTACGAATCTTTAGCCACTGAGTTTCCGCAGACATTCAGCGAACAGCAATTCTATCAAGTTCATAAATACAGCTTTAACAGATCACGTATCTTGATTTTCGCTTACCTGTCGGTGACGAATTCTATACTACTTGGACCTATAGTGCAGTCGATTATCATGTATATTATCGATGCATTTCTATATGGTTTATCGGGAGCAAAATTTCAATGCTTACATCCGACACCTATAACCTATAACTTTAACTTTTGTTCGCCACGATATTATATACCTATTTATATTGTGGAATATTTAAATGGTCACTTTCTCACCACAACCAGTTTGGGTACGGATTTGTATGTATGTACTTTCGCCGCACAGGTGTGTATGCATCTCAAGTATCTGGGAAACTCCTTGGAAGGCTATGAACCGAGCGCCGATAATTCCAAAGCGGATTGCGCGTACTTAAAGGAGTGGATTAAGAAACATCAGTTAATGCTACGGTAACGTAAATTTTTATACTTTATTCTATCTTTACCATTGGGTACATTAGTTTTTTTCCGGATAGACTTGTATATATGTATCAGTTCAAAATATGGAATCATCAAACTGTTTGTCATTCTATTCCAGCAACAAATAACTTCAAATTTAGATAATATGTTTAAACCTTTTCTTAAATGAACATTACGCTCACCTTCCATATATTCAGATTTACAGTATTCACATATTTATTTATTTTGAAGTCAATAATTTACAAATCTTACAAGATCAAAGCCTGTAGAGATTTTATTAAATTCAGAGAGTGCTTTAACAATAGGATCCTAATTGTGATAATTGGCTCTAATTACTTCTAAATAGAACGTATAATGAGAACGAAAAGTTCTATGAGGAGCATTAAAGTTAATTTGCTCCAGCAGCTATGGGAGTACACTAAGCCATTTATGATGTCATCAATAAATAGTAATGAAGGGATAGCTCGTTGAAGAGCAAAAGATTTTAGATTTTTTAGCATATAGCACATCGGAAAGTATTAGAAGGTAGGGGATCAGAGAAATTAAGAGGAGCAAGAGCAAAACGAGAAAAAACCTACATTGGGCGGTTTCAAGTCTAGAGGAATGCACAAAATAAATTGGATTTCAAATTATGCTGGGATACTTCAGCTTTGAAGGAACCAAAGAATTATATAAAATTTTACGCGTGTAGGGATCTTTGACATCACCATTATAACGTCGTAAATAAGTAAGATATATGAATAAGCTTTAGGAATAATGCAATTGATGTGATAAGTGAAGGTAAATCCCACAACAATCAACACACCAATAAATTAAGTAAAAAGTTCGTTCGGTTTTACTGATTTTTTCAAACTTTGCTAACTTTGTGTACATTAGTCCGATTTAAGTCAAATATGTGCCGTTTTGTTCGTATACTTGTTGCCAACGAGATTCCAACTTTATTACACACCTTTCGTGGAACGCTACGTCGCTATTTGATAAAAACTCGAAAAGCCAATTTTCACAGGCCTCTCTTGAGGCCAACTTCTCACCATTAAGTACTTTCGCCATGGACAAGAAAGGATAGTAATCACTTGATCACTGATGGAACACAATTCGGCTTTTGTTGATCAAAGATGGCCTCTTCTGGATAAGTGGTCTCTTCTAGCGATTTATTTGTTGGCAGTATAGGGCCGAATTGATCGTTTGGTCATAGGGGAGCAGCTTATAGTAGATGATTCCTTGCCAATCCCACCAAACAAACAACAAAATCTTCCTGGCCGTCAATCCGGTCTTGGCAACCGTCTGGGCCGCTTCTCCGAGCTTTGACCAATGCACTCGATGTTGTCGTAAGTGACCCATTTTTCATCGCCAGTCACAATCCGCTGCAGAAACGGGTCGATTTTGTTGCGTTTCAGCAGCGATTCGCAAATGCAAATTCGGTCCATCATGGTTTTTTGCGTTAGTGCGAGTGGCACCCAAACATCGAGCTTCTTTTTGAGTCCGAGGTTATGCAAATGGTTCAAAACCGTTATCTGGCTTACCTTTAGTTCCTCAGCAAATAAATAAGTGCTCACGTGACGGTCTGTTTCCACTATTTCCATGATTTTATCGCAATTTTCGACGACAGGCCTCGCTACGCGTGGTGCATCTTTGACATCGAAATTACCGGAATGGAACCTAGCAAACCACTTTTGTGCTACAAGTTCGTTTACAGTACCGAGCCCATAAACTGAATTAATTTTTTTCAGTCGCTTTGGCTGTTTTTTCGCCTTGATCAAAGAAAATTTGTAAAACATAGCGAATTTCCTCTTTGCTGGTGTCCAACTTTAACGAGCGCTCACAACGTACTGAGTCAACCAATCGAAAAACTGTCAAAGACAAACTTTCAGCCCGTATAGATGATGCGACACGAAACACTAGTACTATGGACAATACCGCCATCTCTTATATAAAAACCGGCTGTATGCCAATCAGTGCCTTTTTTCCCAAATAGTAAAATGAGGTGGGATGAACTTACTATGGTTTGATGAATTTTATATTTTGCTGTGACAAAAGAACTTGTAAATTTTGACATAAGGAAAAGAAAAACTCGTGAGGAATACTATGTTTATGTTTCATTTCTATGAGGGTTTATTACACTCGGGTTAAGCCAAATGTTTTACTCGACTTGAATTCAGAATGGAGTTAATAACACGGCTGTCAAGCCGAACTTTGCTAAACTTTGGTAAATTTTTAGGTACATAATTATATATGTCGCAAAATGTTAGCAACACGGAAACTCTGTATCCATCAGGTTAAAGTCAAATCAGCTGATTTCAACTCAAACCGCGTTTATGCTCCCCGAGTTTAGGCTTCTACATATGTAGAGAAAATGTGAATAATCTACGCCTTAACTTTTGGTGAAAAAGTGTTTATGCTTGCGAGTTTAATCTACTCGAGTAGGAATGAAGTATAAAATGTAGTAAAAGTCGCATATATATTTCCCGCATTGCTGAGAAAATGAATAGAATCCAAAGAAAGTAAAGTAAGAAATGTTTGTAAAAAATATATCACTTCTGATGAAGTCACGACGGCAGTTTCTTCATGTTATGAAGATAAAGAGAAAACATTTGTTTATGACAGTATAAATGATTTAATTAAAAGATATGAAAATGTATGCGTCTTGTTGGTGAATAAATTGCAAAATAAAAAATGTTTTTTTTTTTTTAATTTTTCCCTTATCCCAAATTCGGCGAACATAAACACGGTCCCTCGTATGTACCAAACTTCGAGTAAAACGTACCAATCATGCATAATTCTTGGATAGGAAATTTTGAACGATATTTCAATAAAGTAAAGTCAGGGTTTATAGAATACAAAAGCTACCACAACCGAAGAAATCACGGAACCATATATACAGTGAGCGAGACTTGATATATATATTATCAAAAAAAGTATTTTTTCCTTTAAAAAATATATCTGTATTTGATGCTAATAAAATAATTTTGGGGAGAAATTTTCTTATGCAAAAGAAAACACATATTTTCTTTGGTAACGCCACCGCAGTCACAGATTTGGCGATTTTTTACATGTGCAAGGTGCAAGGCGTAACCCGTTTTGATGAAACCATGATCTGGGTGGCCGAAGACTACCAAATTTGAATAAGAATCCTACATAAAGGTATACCGCGGTGGCGTTAATACCTAAGTTCCAGTAAAAGAAAAAATAATAACTTCTTCTACCATATACAAATGTTTATTATATTAATATTTAACTATCCGATTTTCTTAATACCAAAATTTCAAGTTTTCAGCTTAAAAACTTATATCACAAAATTCATAATTTTTCTGAAAATATTAATATGAATCACTCACACAAATTATTTTCCTTTTTTAATTTTTGCCAACCATAACCCATTGCACACTTTTATACCGCTTCGAATTTTTAAGCACGATTTTTTCACATGATAAGCATCACTCATTTCTCAAAAGCTTTTCAGCAGATAAAGATAATATGCGAAAATCTCTTCCTATATTAAATATTTTACAACAATGCGCGTCCTCTTGGAATTTAGATAATTTTTAACGTGTTTGACATTATTTTTGCTAAAAAATAAAATTAATTTTTATAATTTAAAATTTTTTGGAAACTAAAATACATTTGTTCGACATAAAACCGATCAGAACGTTTTAATTGTGATCATTATTACTTCTAAAAAAATTTAATTCAAGACTTTGGAATTTTATAGTCAAAATGTTCAGTTGCTTTATCGATAAAATTGTGAAAATTTATTTAAAATCTTCGGCAACCTACAAATCCAACCAACTTCGTCATTAAACATGTGATTTCGCCTTTGTCATAACCTTGTGTTCTATAAACTTTGATAATGTAAATGTATGGATGTGTATTTTCTTTGCAGTTTATGTGCTGATATAAATGACGTTTTCGGAACGACTCTGCTGTTCAAACTAATATCAAATTGCACCGTATTTTGCATAATTGTAGTTCAACTAAAGCTGGAAGGTTTTGGCTGGGGATTTCTAAACTTCTTATGCTTCTTTTTCGTTACTGTTGCCCAATTTTTCATGGTATGTCATTTCGGACAGAAGCTTATTAACACTGTAAGTTTCACAATAATCGGTTTGTTTTCTTATGAACGAAAAGCACGCCAATAGTACTAATGCGTATGTTATTATTTATTATTGTACTCGTACATGTATATTTTCAGAGCGAGGACGTGTCACTTTGCGCTTACAAAAATCGTTGGTATAATGGATCGAAAGCATACAAAACATTACTATTTACTATAATTGCGCGTTCCCAAAAGTCCTGCAAGCTAACAGCGAAAGGGTTTCAGCCGATCTCCCTGCAGACCTTTCAAATTGTGAGAACTGTGATCAAAAGTTATTATCTTCCTTTCATCCTCTAGAAAATAGTGTATTCGGTTTTTTTTTGGCCCGAAGCCACTTGCGTGTCGAAACTGCCTGTTTTGCATTTTTCTCCTTTTATTTGGGCTATGCGAGAAAGTTTTGTATGACTTACTTGCGGCCGCGGTAGCCGAGTGGTAAGCATTGCATACTGCTTCGGATGGCCAGGGTTCCACTCCTGGTGTCGTCCTAACATCCAAAACGTTATAGAAAATTAATTAAATAAAAAATTAAGTTAAAAAGTTTTTAATTGTGATCAACCCTCGGCAGGGGATTGCAACCCCTTCAGGTGTATTTCTGACATAAAAAACCATTAACCGTTCGGATACGGCCAAGTATCTACTGAAGGTCACTCCATTTGTTGAAAAAAACATCATGATGCGGTTACAAAGCGCTAATTATATACTATAAATACTTGCTCAAAGTTGTCCGAATAAAGTATGTGAAAACTTTCCAATTCTTCAACCATTTAATTTATCTAAAAATTGAAAAACGTGTACCTAATAAATATGAACACAAAAAAGGAATACAGAATTATCTAGCAGTGCAAAAATTGATATTTACTCTGTATTAAAAACAACTTATGATAGAACGAATACCCGAATATACATTTAGTACAGAGAATCTACTTAGCGAATTTGCACAGCCCTTTTTTTAAGTTTTTATACCCCGATCGATAGCCAACCAGATAGCTTTTATGCAGAAAATCATAATTTCACTTGAAACCATTTTTTACAATGAGAAAGCAAAAAAAAAAATATTTCAATTCATATTCGTCGCTGAGAGTGGAAAATATGTAGGTATTTACAAGCGAAAAAAAAGGTATCAAGAAACATCTTTTGTTAGAACATACCACCCAGCAATTTAGTTCACAGAATCAAAGATATTTGCTACTTTCACATTTTAGTCATCTATCACACCGATTACTGTCCTTCCGGCTCCAATTCGGCTATCACGGCAGTCCAAGAGTTTTCTTAAATATAATTATTTGCTCCACTTCAGCTACAAGTATATGGGCGTCTATTCAATCAGGCTTCCCCCACACTTTTCATCATCTGCTACTTCACTAGCGCAGACATTATTTACGCTATTATAGCCGAGTTAACAACATTATGCCATTTATATAATTCTTCTTTTCGCTGTTTGACGCTAATTGGAAATACCAAGTACAGGCAGGTCAGTCTCTACCTGGTATTTTCAAGGGAGTTGAGACCTTCCTCTTTCCCTGCTCCTACCGGCATCGAAAACTTTCATTTGTATTCCATCCGGACTACAAGCCGCTGTATCTTGATTCGCTGAACTATGCGAATGTAGCCGTATATCACGTACACGTCGAATCGTCGTCAAATATGGCGATGACAGATCGCCCATACCTCCGCACCATATAGCAGGACGAGAATGATAAGTGATTTGTAGAGTTTGACCTTTTCCACTTTTCAGTACAGATGAAGTTATCTACGATTTCAAAGTTACAACTTTCAACAGTAACGTGAGAGCCGAGTCGCGAATGCAATGACTGTTTGTTTGATGACTGGAGATCAATATCATCGGCGTATTCCAGCAGCTGTACAGTCTTATAGAATATAATACCTTCTGTTCTGTTCAGCTCGTATTATTTTCTTCAGTAATAGATTAATAGAAGGAATAAGGAATCACCTTGTCTTTAACTTCGTTTGGTATCAAACGGCTCAGAGAGGTATTTTCAAGGGTATTTTCCATGGCGCATGGTGAATATCTGGTCACCTCCTTATGTCCTACATGTCTTCCGCATTTTTTCGTAGTATGTTCGAGCATTGCCCTCCTCGTCTTGATTCTCAAACTCTTTATACTCAAACATCTCGATCTCTTTCTCTTTTTGTCTTCACATGTGTCTCAACCCTCTGTATCTATCCCATCTCGTACGCGTTGTTGGCGATCGCAACATTGCGAGGTAGGCAGAATTTATTTCTCCTCTGCTTCAGGGCAGTCCTCATCATATCAGTTGTTTTTACGAACTTTTCGAAGGTCAAGAGTTTTGTTAGCAGCTATACGTAGAGAGCTTAAAATTCCGTCACACAGTTCTCTCACTAAGTTGCTAATCAGTGCTCTCAGAGAGCAGGCAAAAAAAAAAAAACACATACACAATAAGTGCACCCGTCTTGCCGTGAAGTAGTTAAAAAATTCACAAGATTTACCAAGAAGATATTGACTATGTGACATAAACATGTAGATCACCCCCGCTCTTGTGCGCAAGCCTAGTACTTTGCACACCTTCCCCTCCCATAAAAGGGTCACGCAGTATGGGCACGTTCCCTTACACCAGTTTTACCCCAACTTGGTTTTTTCGTTTCTTTTCGTTCTTTTCATATTTTTTTCCTTTGTATTTACAGGTGATGACCATGACCTATCGTGCATTCGCCGTGTTGCAACGTGCTTTGGATTAACTTGTGTACGGATGATTATGACAGTTCGAAAGTATAGAATTACTTAAGTAGGGGACTACGAGTCTCACATGCACATATATACCTATGCATATATATCGTATATGCATAAGTATGTAATACTTACATGCGTCGTACGGTTTATTTTAATGTGCAATGTAATAATTAAATAAATTATTGTAGAATCTGAAATGCTTATTTTTTTATTTAAAATGATAAATTTAGTTCTGTATATCACTGCATACTGTCATTCTGATTCAGGGATTCGAGCGTTTATTCGCCCAAATTATATCTAAAATTATAGAAAATTAAGTTTTCTCATTGCGTACACCCCTGGTCAGGGCATGTTAAATATGTTAAAATAAAGAGGTCCCCAATAAAATCCAGTGGCCCCACGAAAGAGGCTTAGAATAAACTGTAGGCCCCTCCATTTGTTGGGAAAAACATGAAAGCGTACACCACAAACAGGAAAAGGAGCTCGGACGAAAATCCTCTTTCATCTGAAAGATATTTTTCTGTAACCAAGCTATATTTATTTTTTTACCAATATGCACTTTCAGAAAATTAGCGAAAGGAATGTGAAATGAAGTTTTTATCAAAGCCTTAAATTCATCGTCAGTCGTTGTTTCGTTTGTTTGCGAATATCAATTGAAATACTGAAAGCAATATCAGACATCATTGTCTAAAGACTATTTGACAGTATCCACCACAGAATCATCACCAGATATTGCATTTCGTCTTAGTCATTTCTAATAATCGGGGTTCCTTATATCTATTGATTTATCTGATTCATTCAAGAAAATTAAAGATATATCTCACAACAACGACTAAAGAAGGCTGTTCTAACCCTCTACTTTCCAATATCGCCTCCAGACCGGCTAAATATATTGCACCATCCTTTTTTGCTTTTTTATTATTTTATATTAGGGAATCCCGTATTTTAATTTGAGAGCAATACTAGCATTCGGTTGCTTTAGCAGTAGCAGTCGCTTAAATAGCTAAACATCAAAAAATTTCGTATTATATTTGCCGATCCCTGATAGTGAACTTCATCGAGTATATGTACGTGTATGTCCTTCATGATCATTGTATAGGGTTATCTATTTCGTGATTCCTCAAAAGTATAGGGCTGTAATTGATTACTTTCAATGCATTTATGGACGCATGAAATAGGTCGCTTCACCACGCGTTAAAATTGTTAAAATCTATTACAAAAATGGTGATTCAAACATGACCACGTTTCGTACTTTAAATACATATATCACTAAAATAATTTGTAAAATTTCTAAGAAATTGATTGACTTGATCGTCGTTTTGTTTCTTCCACCTCAAATATCGCTACTGCAAGTGCTACTGTAGTCGAAGACCTAAATACATCTACTTTTCGACAGCACATTTAGGTGAATTGCATTTGGACTTACATCTAGATCTATGTAAAGGCTAACTCCAATAACAACTTAAGCCAGCTGACCACTCACAATGCCGTACATATGTACTAATGTGTAAAGTAAATTTGTTTGTATCTAAAAATGAAGATCTTTATTTGTTGTTCCATATCGATTTCTTCGCCTTGAAAATAGTCTCCTGCCGATGCAATACACATATGCCAACGCTTTTTCCAATTATCGAAGCATGTCAAAATGGCACGTTCTGTTATGGCCTTCAGAGAGCGCCCGATTCACGTTTAATCTCGTCAATCGACGCGAAACTGTGTCCTCGAAGTGGTCTATTAAGTTTTTGGAAGAGCCAGAAGTCACATGGCGCTAGGTCCGGTGAATTCGGTGGTTGGGGAACGATGTTCGTTATGCTGTGTGCTGTGCTGTGATGTGTGCATTATCGTGATGCAAAAGCCACGAAGGCACTTTTAGTCGTTTAGTAAACACAAGAGTAACTGAAATACCAAGGATGACATTCACATGGAATTTGGCGAATACATCATACTTTTTGCTCATATAGATATACCAGGATCAGTTCTCACTCGAGGGATAAATAAGTAAACAAAATTGCATTTGGTGCACCGAGCATTCTCAAATAATTATAGAGAGGCCATTTCACAAAAAACAAAAAAAAAAAACAAAAACAAAAAAAACACGTACTGTCTGGTGCGTTTTTTGGAGGTGTGATTCGGCCTTACTTTATTGAAAACAACAACGGCGAGACTATCACTCGCAATTCGTAGCTTTATGGTCGTACGATAATCGACTTTTTTCAGCCTGCAATTGAAGAACATAACTTGGACAATATGTGGATTCAACAAAATAGTTATATTCTGTTAAAATAAAATAAAATATTAATTGTTTCCGTAGCAACTTACTCAAGTCGTATTTTCAAAAACTTATGCTATTTAAGCAACAACGGTTTCTGAGCTTTTACTTCTTCCTTTTCATCATTGGTGTGACTCTGCTTATGCGTTTTGCCGAACCAACATTTAGCAAACCATTCGGGTTTCTCTTCGCTGTTTTGCTCCATTTGGAAATACCAAGTGAAACCAAGTCGCTTTCCAACTGACCGTTCCAATGGAGTGGAGGTCTTTCTAATCCTCTGCTTTCACCGGCGGGTACTGCATCGAACACTATCAAATCTGAACGACGGACCAGATGACCTGGATAGCGTATCCTTTATCTTTTCATTCACTGAATAATAACAATTTCACAGTAAAGCACGTTCAGCTCTCATCATTGCATTGACTATGGTATTCGCCGTTACTAATTCATGGATAACAATAAATCTTACACAAAACCTTTTTTTCTAAAACTTCTAAATCCGATTCATCAGATGTTGTGGAAACAATGAACTACTTGTAAAATTTGGTTTTCGTTCGAAGAGAGAAGACTTTACTTTTCCAAAGTAACATTTGCTGGCAAATGTGTGGCTCTGTATTGGATTTCCAAGCTGTTATTATTATTGATGTTGAAATCATCTACGACCTCTAAGTTATGATTGTTAACAGTGACGTGAGAGTCAAGTCGCGAATGCGATTACTGTATGTTTGCCCTCGTTCACTATCAGACTTGTATGCCGCGTTTCCTCATCAAGTCTTGAGAACTCGTGGCGCGGTTGTTGAAGCCAATAATGTCAATATCATCGGCGTACGCCAGCAGCTCTTATATATGATTGTACCTTCTCTTTTCAGCTCTGCGCGACTTACTGCGGCTAATTTCTAATACCTTTAACAGCAGATGCCAGTTTCTTGATGGCGACGGCTACAGTTTATAGTTGTGTTACGCTGTGACCGTGCCCGTCTTGTGTTAACCGTACCATTCTTAAGCTTGTTTATCTCATTTCTCTAAAGAGTTTGCATTTGTTTTTATTTTTTGAAAATTGATTTGTCTAAGCTCTTCACATCCAAATGTTAGGCCTTCGAAAATTTGCTAAATGGACGTTCCTAATGTAATGGTACGCAACAAAAACTTTGAAAAGGTATTTTAAAGCTACCCTCTTTGTTTAGCTCTGACAGGTTACAGCAAATGCTTTTTGTTAGCTGAATCTCGTGCTTACAACCACACTTACGAATGTATGTTACAACTTGCTTGCTTCTCTTAGCGTTGCTCACTGCCAGGCACCCACCACATTGGATGTGCTTACTGACGCTTTTCGTTTCATTCTATGGTACTCTATTCAACTGTCAATACGTTCCGACAGCGCTCAAGCCTATTCTTTTCATTCTTCTTTTTATAATACAACAACGACTATAAATTTTTACCAAGGCAAAAGGTAACTAGCACAACCGAGTCGTATGTTATTGCCGAAAGCATCTAGTTGAATTTATTATGGTATTTAACATTGGTTAACATTAGCGCCGCAGCAAAACCTTACAGCACTGCTAATAACATTAACAGAGTGTGCAGATATGGTAGCGAGCTGTCTGCTTGCATGCATGCTATACTGTTAGTGACACTTCTGCAGCAACACTACCAGCATTAAGCACTACCACGACCATAGTTGCAACAATTATAAACTTAGCTGCTTAACGTACATACATACGTGACTATCTATACCTACGATAGTAGTTTTGAAAGTAATAGTTTATGTGCGCGCGACTATAATTTGTGTGCCTCATGTGGTGGGCTCGTGTCACTAATTTGATTTTCTTTTCACATATCGCATTAAATAACGTGTACCTTCTTCTAACGTGTTCTTATTAAATTAAGAAGCACAGTGGCTCGTAAAAGTGGCGCGTGATTTCATTTGGTCAAGAGCAGCATTGAGTTTAACATAGCATAACTTGGAGAAGACATTTATACTTTTAATTAAGAAGTTAGACAGAAGTACGTATATATACATATATAGATATCGAGCAACAGTTACTTCACATTATTTTTTTCTTAAGCAGCATATAATATTTGAACGCACTCTATTTGAGAATTAAGGCGCGGTGTGCATTTAAATTGAATTCGTTGGTGAGTGATCTTGAAGTTTTTGTGTTAACGTATTATATATACATAAATACATATGTATATAGCCTAACGAAATGCCCTTGATTTGGCATAACGGTCTATGTTTGTGCGACGTAGGTCTTGACCAGGAAAAGATATTCAAATGAATCTTTGGTTTTCCATAAACTTTTTTTTAACGACGAACTCAGCGTTACCCATCTCCTGCGCAACAAGCCGAGGGGCGAGCCTGGAGAATATTCGAAAAATCCGACAGATCAGTGACAATTCGTACTGTCCTCATTCTGAGAACGAACGCGGAAGGTCGCAATTACACTTGTCTCTTTCACTACACAGCTACAGATTTGCTCATCAGCTGCTATAAATTACTTAAAAAAAAGAAAAGAAAAATACTTATTGTAATTATTTAAAGCTTTTACTAAGTAGATTTCGATAAAGGAAAACGAGTCCGAGGAATCAATGCTGGTGGCATGTGTATTAAAATCGTTGCACAAACATCTAAAAGGGTCGTGCATTTTAAAATTTGTTCTGCATGAACACAATGAAAGGGGCCTAGATTATCTAGATAATTCTAAGTGATCTTAAGGAGATGGTAAAATTAATGACGCTGAGTATGAAAAGGCTATTGATAGCACCACTTATAAGTTCAGTTAAAAATATAGCTCCAAGCATCTTTCCAAGATTTTGGAGTGTAGTCAGATTAATGTACCGTTTTAAGGATGAAGATTCTTATTCACAACCCAGTTTAAATTTCTTTGATGATAATTGCTTTTGATGATAATTTATCGCTATACAATAGATAGGGCAGATTCTATACAACTGAGCAATATTCCAAAATGGCTCTAAGCCCAATGTTTGATGAAAGCCAAGAGGTCTTTTGGCTTATTAGCATAATCATATTTTTATGTTTTCTAAAATCTAGCTTAGGGTCCTTTGTGCCACCTAAATCAGTGATATCAGTAACTTGCTCAACAATGTGATTATTTACTTTATGGACAAAGGATTTCTGGAGAAACATATATATTTGCACTTATTTAAATTTAGGGGCATCACACCATCTAACTAAGTTATTTAGTTCAAGTTGCAAGAGTTCTCTATCCTCAACGAAACGTACTGATTTGATAAGCTTGACATTACAGCGTACATAAGGCTTTAGAATAAAAAACCACAGAAGATCGATTGAACCTCTTCCTTCAGAATGCAGTACGCAATGCTAACCACTCGGCTACTTCTACCGCGCTTAAACAGCCCATTCTATGAATAAATACACTAACCATTTGCAAAACTTTTATCTAACCCAAAGAAGCGCTAACAAATGTGTCCTGTCTCCTAGAACAACATCAGAACTGGTACTAATATCTAATTGAAAAAATTATATGTGTATACCTATTTTGTGTTGTAACTATTTGAATGTTTTAATGTATGTGGATTTACTGGACGGTACCAGTTGAATTTGCAAGCCAACTTTACGGTGATAATTGGACATTTCATACAGATAATGCTCCAATTCACAGTGCAGCTCTTGTTAAAACGTTTTTTTTCGGTCCGGAAAAATACCGGTATTGGACTGGCCAGCTAAAAGCCCGGACTAGGAACTCACGAATAAATGATTCAATGTAGTCATTCAATGCGTCAATTGAAAAGGGCTTGTCTCTATAGGCTTTAAAATCAACATAGGCCGACAAAAAATAGTCTAAAGGCGTTAAATCGCACTATATAGACGACCACTTGACCGGTACCGATCATGAAGTAAAATGTTCACCGAACTCGCCTCTCAATAAGTCCATTGTTACTCGTGCTGTGTGGCATTTGGCACTGTCTTGTTGAAACCACATGTCATGCAAAACAAGCTCTTGCATTTTGGGCAAAAAAAAGTTTCATATCATCTCACGGAAGCGCTCACCATTCATAGTTACGGTACGTTTGGCATCATCTTTAGCCACCAGCCCATAAACCACACCAAACTGTGACTTTTTCTGGATACATTGGTAGCTCTTTCAATGCTTCTGCCTGATCTTCACTCCAAAATCGAAAATCCTGCTTATTTACGCACCCATTAAGTCAAAAATGAGCTTCGTCGCTGAACACATTTTTTTGTTTTGAACTTTCTTAACAGAACACGCATTTTGATAATAAAATTCAATAACTTCTTGTTGTTCGTTTGTAAGATGATTCACGGTTAAATTATAGACCAAAAAAAAGATGTTTGATAGTGATACAAAACACAAAACGTGCGTCAGCTTTTTAAGGCAGTCTTGCCGAAAAGGTAATAACTAAAAAATCACCCTTTATAATTTTCTATGAAAATTATCTTTTTTTTCATTTTGCCTTTATATATAGATTAAATTAAAATTTAATTTTTTTACATAATATTAGTTAGAAAATAGGCAATTAAACAAAAAAAAAACAATCTTTAATAAATGCTTTTATTTCAGTAATTTGAAGTCGTGCACATATAATTTGTTTAGTAAGGTATAACGTGAACCAGATCTACTGCTTATATATATGTCGTCTTAAAATTCACAAGATTTCCTGATAAGATGAATGATATGGAAATTAACGTGTTTCGGTTTTTGTATAGAGTCATAGCTTATTTTCTTCTTCTACTTCTTTATTGGCGTTGGCACCGCTTAAGCCATTCCTCTCTTCTTTTCGTTTGGCGCCAGTTGGAAATACCAAGTGAAGCCAGGTCACTCTCCACCTTCCAATAGAGTGAAGGTCTTCCTCTTCCACCAACGGGTACTGCATCGAATACTTTCAAAGCTGGAATGCTTTCATCCATTCAGACGACTTGACTTAGCCATCTTAGGGGCTGTCTCTTCATTCGCTAAACTATTTCAATATCATCAAATAGCTCGTACAGCTCAGCGTTCCATCGTCAATTGACTGTTGCCAATGCACAAAGGACCATAAATTTTACGCAAAACTTTTCGTTCGAATACTTCTAGAGCCGACTCATCAGATGTGGACATCGTCCGCGCTTCTGCACCATATAGTAGGACCAGAATGATGAGTGACATGTAGAGTTTGGTTTTCGTTAGCCTGGAGAGGACTTTACTTTTCATTTGTCTACTCAGTCCAACGTAGCACCTGTTGGCGAGAGTGATTCTACGCTGGATTTCAAGGCTGACATTATTATTACTGTTAATGCTGGTCCCTAGATAGGCAAAATTATCTACTTCCTCGAAGTTATGACTGTCAAAAGTGACATGAGAGCCGAGTCGTGAGTGCGATGACTGTTTGTTTGATGACTGGAGATATTTCGTCTTACCGTCAACCACTACCAGACCTATTCGCTTCGTTTCTTTATCAAGTCTTTAGCTCACGCCGCAGTTGTTGAGGCCAATAATGTCGATATTTCATTCCAATTGATATATGTATTATGTATGCCCTTTAAATTGTTTATACTTACAATTGTCATCAAAAAAATAACAGTGCTTGGTACTAAAAAGTAAACGTGACAATATGTGGAAGAACAAACATAAGCTCCTTCACTATGTACCTCTAGATTGCTCAAAATAACTACCGTGTAATTTTTTCTGCAGAACTTATGGAGCAGTCAAAATAATAGCAGTCTTTCGTGGAATGGGAATTTCAAGATATAATCGAAAGTGTCACATTATTCACAGATTGAGCTTCGCCCAAGAACATATAGAATGACCCACCGAAAAGTGGCGGAATATTATTTGGCCCCAAGAAAGTAAAATTATTCTTTTTTGCGGAAAGGGCGCTGGGCAATGCATTAGGCGAAACCCAATACTGAATACGACCCTGAAACATTTGAAATACCGTTAAATATGATGGATGGCGTATAATGATTTGGAGTTTCACTTTATTTTACGATATAGGCCCCATATACCGAGTAACTGGTGTAATGGATATCTCAAAATATTGCACATAGTGATGTTGTAAATTTGTACTTGTAAATTGGCGAAAAAGTGGTTTCTGGCAAATTAAGTATAAACAAGTAATCGTACAAATTTGTTAAAGAAGCATTTCTATTTTTAACTTATATTTTTTACTACTTAACACTATTGCTATTATTTTGACCGCAATTGTACATATGTATGTATGTATGCACATATATTTAAATGTGTTAAATAACTTGATAATACTAATAGATACAATTAATTTAATTAAGCCATTTTATGCAAACTATTTTCTACAAAATTTTTTATGCATTCTGTTATTACCTTTTAGCGATTGTATGTATGTAGTACCACAAATTCTGTCTAATATTTTTTTAAAGAATTTATCAAAACTCAGAATTTAATAGTTTCAATTTGGTTTGTTAGCAGAAAAATTTGGTAGGAACAATTTTGTTTTTATATGTCTCATACGAGGACTGAACAGTTCATAAGAAACCCTTTGAAATTTTATGATATTCTATTATTGATTCGTTTGTTATGATGCTAAGAATGGCACTACTTTTGATATTTCCAAAATTATTGATCAATACCAATTTCGTGTTGCAATTTTACACTGCTTTTTGATGAAAAGTAATACCATTGAGGCGAAGAGGGGATTTGAAACAAATATAGAGTGCCTCACCGCTCAATTAGAAACAAGAATAAATAGTTGGCTTGCTGGTAATATTGAAGAAAATCAGCCATATATGAGGAGATAATACCAGAAAAAAAAAGAAAATAATGGTATTTCAGGTCATTGTTCTGCTGAATTGTTTTTTGGCTTTTTTTATGGAACTGTATTAGACCATATATTTTTGGAAATAGTGAAAAAATTACAACAATGGTTTTTTTTATACACATTTTATTTATTTACTGGATCGGTTGTAATATAAGCCTAACAGTAAGTGTACAAACCTTAAAAACTAATTTACAAACATGATAGCTCGAGTTATGTAACTCTGAGCCCATTTAGTTCTGGACGGTAGAAGTTATAGCAGCTATTTCGGAAACCACCACGTTTCCTCAACAGACTTCTTTTTCCAGGCTTCTTTGTTCGAATTGGATTCGTACTTGGCATGCCCACCGCACGAGCCAATG